TTACTGTCCTACCATTAGTTGTCTTGTTAGCTGATACAATAGTAGATAATATCATTATTATTTTTTAAATACAAAACTAATTGTGAGGGGCTTAGTCCACTCCCCACGCTTTTAGTATAGATAATATCATTATTTATTTATTTTTTTAAATACAAATGTAGATAATATCATTATTATTATTATTTTTAAATACAAAACTGATTATGTTACTGTTCTACCATTAGTTGTCTTGTTAGCTGATACAAATGTAGATAATATCATTATTATTTTTTTAAATACAAAACTGATTATGTTACTGTCCTACCATTAGTTGTCTTGTTAGCTGATACAAATGTAGATAATATCATTATTATTTCTTAAATACAAAACTAATTGTGAGGGGCTTAGTCCACTCCCCACGCTTTTAGTATAGATAATATCATTATTTATTTATTTTTTTAAATACCAATGTAGATAATATCATTATTATTATTATTATTTTTAAATACAAAACTGATTATGTTACTGTCCTACCATTAGTTGTCTTGTTAGCTGATACAAATGTAGATAATATCATTATTATTTTTTTTAAATACAAAACTGATTATGTTACTGTCCTACCATTAGTTGTCTTGTTAGCTTCTCAGATAAAATATGATTAACCATTGTCATTCAGTACTACCGTCTGGTGGTATTTTTTGTCACTTAAAAGTGAGAGGTCTTAGGTTCGAATCTCATGGATGGCGAATTCGATACCAAATTAAGTTGCCCATTGTGTGACTTAGCGTAAATCCCCTTCCCTTTAGTGTAAAAAGATAGATGTACTAAAATAAAAACATGATTAACCATATAATTTGGAATGGTGTGTACTATCCACACACTAACACACCCTGACCTAGATCGAGGCATGCTGGCCGTGATAGGAGCATATTTACGCGACTTAATTAGCTTGTTCTTGTGCATTTGTGTTGTTATTTTTTAGTTAATTATGTATTTTAAGCTATTTTCGTGTGTTTGTAGGTCATAATAACAAAGTTGGCAAGAAAGTGCATTTTGGAGCATTTTAGAGCATTTTTGAGCCAAGATTGGATAGTGCAAGCATGAAGACATGAGGATGGACGTTTTTGAAGATTTGAAGGCTAGAAATCAGCATGTGTTTGTGCAAGTGTGTTGACCTACAACTCCATATATCCATCCACCACCACAATAGACCATCCATTCATCAAACCACACCTTGTGCTGCAACAAAGAGAAGAAGAAGGACCCTTGGACGTGCTTGCCATTCAAGTTGGATTGTTGGAGCGTTTTTAGGTGTTTTCATTCTTTTGTTTTCAATGTCTACTTTGTTATTTTCTAATTTTGTTGCAATTATGAGTGGCTAAACCCGTATTTAGTTAGGGGGAAGTTTGAAGCCATGAACATGCTTAAGATATGAATTGATTTCTTCCAATTGTGATTTGATAAGTTGTGACTGCAATTCAATTATCTATTTTCTTCATAACTGATTCTTGTATGTTTATTAAGGATGCATACTTAGTTTTCATGCATGAATTAGATGCTAGAATATAAATGAGTTTCGCCTAATCGTTACAAGTTTATATTCATGAGTAGTGAAGGTTGCTTGTCACAATCGCGTTAATTGAATTCTTGGCAAACGTATCATGCATTCATAGTTACAATTGCCTCGTCAACACTTATGATTTTAACTAAGCGTAATGATCTCTGATTGTATCTCTATTATGCATTCATATAGAGGACTTTTAGAGAATGATTTGGGTTGTCGCATGCATTCATCCAATTCAATGAGTAAAGGAAAATCTGAGGGTTAATTTGTGCATCACGGTTAATCTGGGGTGTTGAGTATCATAGTTTATTGAAAAGCAATTGGAAATCGATTCATGTACAAATGTGTCATGTGTGAAGTACGGACCTCTAACTAATCCATCCATCATCTTATTTTCTTAAATTCGTTTTACAATCTGCCTAGTTTTATAACTTGTTTGTTTGTTTCAAATTCATCAAAACTAAAATCCCCCTTTTACTTTCTTGTTTCAAAGTGTTTAAAATCTGTTTTGTTTGTGTTTTAGAGTGTTTTGAGTCAAACCAAAACACTAAATTCATCCAAAGTTGTGTTAGAGTCAAATCTGCCCAGTAAGTGTTTTAGGCAGTTTTGAGTGTTTTTAAGTTGTTTTGAGTCTTGTGAACCTGTTTTGAGTCCTTCAAGTCTATTCAAACGTTTTTAACTTTGTTTTTATGTTTTTGAGTTAGTTTAGAGGTTTTAGCAAGCCCTCCTAATCCCCGGTTTAAAACGATCCCTACTTGCATTTATACTACAATTTGACAACAAGAGGGTTTAATTTGAGTGCTTAACTTTCATCACATCAGGCCGTCACGTGAGGGTGATGTAGCCATGTGCACAGTGTTGAAGCAATTGAGATACAAAGAATATGAATAAATAAAAACCAAGCTACTAAAGGTACTAGCTAAGATAAGGTGCAAGTGATAGGTTAAGTGTGAAATACACAACCAGAGCATAAATAGCCTAAGTGCAGTCAAGCAGGACAAGTACTAATTATACAACACCCAAGGGTGATCTTACATTTATGATGTTCTGTCAGAACCACCGTCAAAATCCCTGTGAGCCAACAAAGCACTTCTACCTAAAACCTGGAGGGGCGCAAAACAGAAAGTGTGAGTGGGTAAACAAAACTTTTCAAAATCATTTCATTTCTCAAAAGTTCTAACCCTTCGCCGTAAAACTTGTATAATTTCCCAGAAAATATGTACATACTATAACAGAAATCAGGATGAAAACCATAGAAATATATCATGCCAAAGTATCTCAATGAAATGCTATAAGTAATCTAATTTAAATATATCAATACTAGATATCATGTCAGTCAGATTCACCTAACGTCACCTGCGTGGCTGAGTATATAGCTCATAACTAATCTCAATCATATCAAATCAAATCATGCACATGAGTCGGAACCACCTAAAGTGGTATGTACGACAAGACTAGGTGTAAAATAAAAATGCTCTAGTGCTACGATCACGTGAAGACTGTGAGAATAATCGCGGGTCACCTACGAGTCGGAACCAACTAAAATGGTATGTACGACAAGCTTGTGAACTAACTTGGGTGGTCTGTACGACAAGCATGTGCACTAATTTGGATCCAAGGTGAGCATATGGTGCGGGAGGTGAACATCACGTGAAGGACTGTGCCCTAACTCTGGGCAGGAGCACTAACACCGGGGTGCAGGTTTATGAGCTCTCAATACATCACATCATATCTCGTATAACTGAAGCAATCTCATATCTTTAATTTATGAACTTACCTGGCACTTACCTGTGCGTCCGCAGCACCAATTATAAATATATGCAACCACTAATGCATAAATAAAATAGGCAGATACTTTGCATGGCATTTCAAATCGTATAATCATTCAAATTCATTTTCTGGGAAAAAGCTCAAGTATATAGGTATATGAGGAAAACCAAAAGCCCACTCACTAATATGTCGAAAGGTCGTAGCCCGCGAGCCTCGATTGATGGCGCTCGTCCTCAGGATAGGTCTCACCTATATGCGAAATAACTAAATAAACGTTATTCAAAGCATATATACAAAACTAGAAAATAACTTCTCATACAATGCTCAAATGGGGTATTTGAATATACCACCATGACCTACTCAACCTGAGGAACATCCCCAAATTTTTAGAAAAAATTTCATGACCACACGCGCCCTCACGCGCTGGCCAAGGCACGGCCAGACGCACAGCCCACGCGCAGGCACGTGCCTAGCATACCAAACAGATTCCCTAACGGCGTTAGGGAATATTCTGTTAAAAATCAGAATATGCCGTTATGTTTACCTGACGGCGTCAGAATATTCCGTCAACTTTTCCTTGGTTCGCCGGAGTCCGACGCCGGTCACCGCTACGATCGCCTGAACTGGAAAAATAATCAAACCTTCATATCTTCTTCGATTCTCAACCAAAATTCACGAATTTTGTACCAAAATGAAGCTTAAGATGAGAAGAACATATTCATACCACTTTGGGGACCTAAAACCAACAGAAAGTCGCTTGAAAAACCTTCGATATTCCTGCCAAACCTGCAACTCACTAAACCTGGGCTTCCCGAAGTCCAAATCACTTCAAAATCACTCCCCGAGCTTCGTGAAGATGTTTTAAGGCTCCCTATAACCTTAAAACTCCTTGAAAACTTCACGATTACGAGTGCATGAACAGTACTCAAAATATGAGATTCTGGGTTCTCGGGTTTTACGAGTTCTCACGTCTAACTAAAGGTATGGATGTGTTCCTGAGCTCACAAGGAACACAAAAGCAACCTCCTCGACGTCGATCTGTGGTTTGAGAGTTGAGTTCAAGGGTGACCGTACAACTTGTACGGACAATGGATGGAAGCCGAGAGAAGGAAAGAGAGAGAGAGTCAACGGGATGGGTATGGGTGTGTGAGTGTGTGTGTGGTCCAGTTTGCAGCCAACCAAAAACAAAAGAAAATAAAACCTAAAACCTAAATCTTAAATAGTTCCAAAAGCCTAGAAAAAAATTAGGAATTGGACCACAACCACAAACATATCACACATAACACATCTCAACGTCCAAGGGTACTTTAGACAATTCACACCATCGAAAAATTTATTTCCGGTCGTCGGATCAAATGAATTGAAGAAGATCAAATGAATTGAAATTAATAAGGGTTGTTTGAGAAATAAAAAGGGGTGTGTGGATATCACAATTATTAATTAAAAACTTGCATTGTAAATTTGTAATGCATTTGACATTATTTGTGACACTTCCATTAAAATGAATTTTAACGTTATCTGTAATCATCCAACGTTTTAATTTGATGTGAGTAGCTTTAATACGCTCCAAAAAATATATCAATACATTATGCGTCAATAGCAGCACAAATTTGAGAGAACTGGTGTTAGAAACTAACTAGCAATTGAGGCCCGCTCGATGCTACGGGTTTCAAAATGATCTTAAACGTGTAAAAAGTAGAGCTTATATACATGAGAAAATATGTGCCAAAGAGTAGGGTTGTATACATATATTACATTCTTATATTACATGACAAAAATTGGGATGGTCGTATGCCATAGCCAGAGTTCTATTTACATTCATATATTACATGCAAGAAGTTGAGGATGACATACTAACAGCCTCTTCAATTCTGAGATTTTTTCTTAAGAGACTCTTTTAGCCAAAAAAACAGTACACCGCAATAAATGCACATGTAGTTCTTGTCTCCCATATCCACATATTCCACAATATTGCCTATTTAATAAAAATACATGTGGGAAAGGAAGAAAAAGAAGACAAAAATGCAACTTATTAGTGACAGAGTAATAAATGCATAATCGACTCAAAATAAATTGTAAGTTCAATAGAGACAATTACCTTGTTTGTTTTTTTGAAAATTGGCTTGACCTTTACTAATTTGATTTGAATTATCAAATGTAACGACATTGGCACTTGTTTGGACTGTGTTTATACTGTTTGTCAACAATTTTTTGTCTTTTGTCCTGATGTTCAAAGCTTGGTTTATCACAAACTTGTATGCCACCGGAAGAACCAACAATATGGCATTCTTGTATTATTTGATTGCGTTTGCTAGTTCTACACCCTCTTAACATGGCATAAAAAAATTCAAACTCCAAGCAATAGATAATTCACTGAGAAATCTAAAAAAAAAAATAATAAAAAAAAAGTTGTCAATTATTAAATACTTAACAATAAGTAAACTAAAATGAAGCAAAACACATAAGTCACATTTGAAAACCAACACCGAATGCAAAAACGCTTGCAATAAAGTTCCTATTCAACTGTTGATGATGACTCATATTCTTTGTCTACTCAAGTTGTACGCCTATGTTTACCCTTCATTTTAATTATTCATCTCAGTATTCATTGCACCATAGAGTACTACCAAGCAAATACACATTATACAGTCTAATTCTTTTTTAGTCCTTTTTCAGGTCCCAGAAGCTGCAAGCTTTAACTCAATTCACTTTGCTATCAAAGTAAATGACCAGTGGACATATTTCTTAGTGTTCAAGAGGCCGACGGCCAATGAGACGTTAGCCATACAAATAGGACCCAAACAATTTGATTAATTGCTATTTTTATTCCTACTGAACAAACCAATTTGAATGGCTTCAAACTCAAAAATTGCAAAATTTTATAGAAATTTTTTTGTCATACCTTATTTCAAACACGTTGCTCTGTTCTTACTGCGGCTGCGGAACAACTCCTCCACCAACACTGATTTACAGAATCTGTTTGATGCCTAAAGATTATGAGTCAACCTGGTGATGTGATAACATATCTCATAAATTAAATGAATAATACCTTTTACTGGAGACTACAAATATGTACTTCCTGAGCAATATCTTTTATCAAATCTAAATTAACCTACACTTAATTAATATAGTAGGGAAGAATAAAAATGAAGAGGTATGGAAAAAAGTGATAAGAATGCCTATATATTTAGTGTCAAGAAAAAAATCCCATTTTTTCTTATACCTAATAGAAATGTCATTACTGGACTGCAATTTAGGTACAATTTGATTAGAAACTAATTAATTGATATTTTCTCATTAAACTAAGTTGTAAAATAGCACCACATAATGGGTGGCGGACCATTGCCCCGTCATGGAGATATATGAACTCTCTTTATCTCACACATTATCAACTGACATGATGAGCGATGAGATGATCCGTAAAGGAATGTATTCATACTGTAAATTAAAGATACAATTTCTAAATTCTGTAAAATTTTGTAAAAGATTATCGAGCAAAGCAATTGAGGTGTCAAATCACCGATCATACCCTTACATACATGGTTACCAGACACTCAAATCCTCTTTTCCTTGTTAACAATAAGTAAACTAAAATGAAGCAAAACACATAACAGTCACATTCTAACACCGAATGCAGAAACCAATATCAATAACGATTCAAAGAACCTCAATTTACTGTCTTTTACAATTGAAACTATATTATAGGATGTTAAATCTTTAGGCTATTTTTTTATGACAGAAAATAAAATAATTTGAAGCTAAATTGATTTAAGTGTTAAATTTTTAGGCATTACCCATATACCATATCAACAGTCATCACTTAAAGTAACCTTTACAATTATGCTTGCATAGAAAGTTCGCATTCAGCTGTTCACGATGAGCTATACTCTTCGTCTACTCAAGTTGTATAGTGTCATAATGCAACTGCAAAAAACTAAGAGAATGAAACTTCTAAGAGTTTGAACCCTACCAAAAGTTGGTTAGTAATTAGTTCCTGGGCAAATTACTAATCTTTAATTAATTAGTATTTTATTCCTATTTAACAAACCAATTTGAATGGCTTAAAACTCAAAAATTGCGAAATTTTATAGAAAAGTTTTGGTCAGACCTTATTTCAAACACATTGCTATGTTCTTCCTGAGGCTGCGGAACAACTCCTCCAGCAACACTGATTTACAGAATCTATTTCAAGCCTAAAGAGTATGAGTCAATCTAGAGATTTGATATAAGTGTGAACACGGAAAATTCCTGAAACGAAAGAGACAAGAACAACGTGCACAAACAAATATTTGTATTTTTGATGATTTTGGGTTACAATCTCTCTCAAATTTGGTCCTCTGATTCGATCCCCGTAAGGTGTGTATTTGTGGATGTTTCGTTGATCCAAGGGCCGTCGGGGCTTGATCTTGGATGAACTGTTGGAAGTTTCTTCAAAGGGTCGTGGGCTTGATCTTTGAAGGTGGATTTGAGCGGATCTTCAAGGAGCCGTTGGGGCTTGATCTTGAGGATGAATGTTTCTCCAAGGGCCGTTTGAGGCTTGATCTTGAATAACGGTGATGAGCGGATCTTCAAGGGTTTTTGGGCTTGATCTTGAAGAAACAGTGATGAACAGATCTTCAAGGGCTTTTGGGCTTAATCTTGAAGAACGGTTGGATGTGTGTGGATTTGTCGACGTTGTTGATCCAAAGGGCCGTCGGGGCTTGATCTTGAAAGAGCGATGAACGAAGAACTAAGAACACTTTCTTCAAGGGCCGTCGGGGCTTGATCTTGAATTGGTGGATGATTGTTGATCCAAAGGGCCGTTGGGGCTTGATCTTAGGATGAACGAAGAACGAAGAGAGCTTTCTTGATTTTTCGGGAACCTGGATGCTTGAGAGCTTCGGAGTTTCAGAGCTTCAGAGCTTCAAGGTGTAATATGAATTGGTTGATTAAATGAATGAAATAGGCTTGTATTTATAGAATTTTCCAAAGCCTAATTTTGAATATAATATCCCAGATGAAATAAGTCGTTTCTGCCAGGTGTTGACACGTGTCCTATTTGATGACTTTTCCAACTCATTTCAATTTTCGTTAAGTCACACGCTACATGTAAAATTTATGTAATACATGAGCGTTGACACTTTGATTTATCGGTCAACATTTATTTACCGAAATTTCGATGTCTACAATAAGATCTTAAAAAATAAATAAATAATATTCAGATAAAATAAAATCATATCAAAAGAACCCATAACTTTAAAAGAAAAATTGTCCTAACTGGAAATTTAAACGATGAATTCTAAAAAAAAAAAAGTAAATCGATTTGATAAAGATGTGAGTAAATTAATTTCATAAATATGAAATCATAACCATGCCATTCCAATTACTACTTTTGGTATGACGACGAACATAAGGATGCCTAATACTACCTTTCCAAAGTGCAGAAAGAGAGAGAATACAATTGAGGTAAATTTCGAAAATCCTCGTCAAAACGGTAATGAATCGGGACATGCAACAGGTGTTTCTTGTTCCTGCGATTAAAGGGAGATGATTGGCAAAACATAATTAACAAAACATCAAAAACTCCCACACAGATTCATTCATCAAACCCCCCAAAAAAATAAAAAACCACAAACGTAAAGCAAAAACGCAGAAAAACTTCATCAAAACGACGACTAAAGACACCCAAAAAAACCAAATCAGGAAATCAAAAGGGCAAGCATCAACAAAGACCTCACCCAAATGGAATCCAATGGAGAGAACGAACCACCGAGAGATGAGGAAAACGGCAAGGCAAGGAGAGGGGCGATGTAATTTTTGGGTGATGAGTGTCAGATTTCTCGCTGAAGGGAAAAGGGAAGAGAATTTAAGCCATATTTTGATGTTGGAAGAAAATGAAGCAGGAAGAAGAGGTATTTGTGAGTGCGATTCCAGCTGAACAGTGATACAGTGATACAGTTGATATGCATAGTTTGAATTTATTTTGTAGATCCCAAACTTCCAAAGATTTATTTATTTATTATTATTATTTTTTTTTTGAAAAGTAAGTAAGGGTTTAGTCCATTTGAATAAATCCGATCGATATTAGAGAGAATTCACTAGAGTCACTTTTTGGAGCTCCTCTGTAGAATTCACTCAGACTATATTTGGATCAGGAACTTCTAAATTTGAAGGGATTAAATCCAAGTTGGTAAGAAATGGATCATAAAATTGTAGATTAAAGTGATTAGTTATGCCATCCATAAGCATTACAAAGATATATATGGGAGAGATTTGCAAATCTCTGCTTGGAAGGTGTCATTTTCAAATACATCTCACATGCATTTCTAATGCTCATAGAGGTCATTACTAATCTCTTCTAATCTTATATTTTATGGCCCATTTCTTACTAACTTTAACTCAATTCTTTGTGACTTAGGATATCATCTAACATAGCCTCAATATGCGCTTCGGACGAGCAATTTCAAGACTCATGCAAATTCTTCGATTACAAGTGGGCAAAGTACAATGTTACAGATTGCATTATTAACCAATCAAAGTGGATCATTTACTAGTTGTATATATATAATTTAGGTTTATGAAGCCAAGCATTACTCCAAACAAACAATATTCAAATATAATTTCCTTTGACGTGTGCAAATTCCGGGCCGACTTAATTATTAGGAGTTCATTGACTTAGTTAATACTTGGTTGTCCCTAAGATGCAAGACAGTTGTTAATTAACCAGCTGATTGCAATTTTGAAGGGTTACTGTGATCCCTTGGGATATTCGATGAGACTTTTACTATTCATATCATCGTATGCGGCGAACTGGATCACACAAATGTGGAGAATCTTACTCTTGCCCGTTGCCCCTTCACAACCCTCCACAACGTCAACTCCAAGCCCTATATAAATCCCACACTCCCTTTGTACCTTCCTCACACAACACTACAATTCCGTTTAGTACTCTAATCAGCATCAAAATCCAAACCCCAAACCCCGAATTCCGAAGCCCCAAAAATGGCAGATTCAGAAGGTGAACCCGGAAGCTCCATGCATGGAGTGACAGGCAGAGAGCAAACCTTTGCATTTTCAGTAGCATCACCAATTGTCCCAACAGACACGACAGCCAAATTCGACTTGCCAGTCGATTCAGAGCACAAGGCCAAAGTTTTCAAACTATTCTCTCTGGCCAACCCTCACATGAGGACGTTCCACTTGTCTTGGATCTCCTTCTTCACTTGCTTTATCTCAACATTTGCAGCTGCTCCTCTCGTCCCTATCATCCGAGACAACATAAACCTCACGAAGCAAGACATCGGAAATGCCGGAGTTGCCTCCGTCTCAGGCAGCATATTCTCAAGGCTTGTGATGGGTGCGGTGTGTGATTTGATAGGGCCACGCTACGGCTGTGCGTTCCTAATTATGCTCAGCGCACCCACTGTGTTTTGCATGTCGTTTGTGGCTGACGCTGGGGGTTACATAGCAGTTAGGTTATGATTGGTTTTTCCCTTGCAACATTTGTGTCGTGCCAATATTGGATGAGCACAATGTTTAATGGTAAGATTATTGGACTGGTTAATGGGACTGCAGCCGGGTGGGGAAAACATGGGCGGTGGGGCAACCCAACTCTTGATGCCATTTGATGTTCGACATCATCGGTAGATGTGGAGCAACTCCTTTTACTGCCTGGAGAATTGCATTCTTCATTCCAGGGTGGTTTCATATCATTACTGGAATCATGGTGTTGACCCTTGGCCAAGACTTGCCCGATGGGAATCTTGGTGCCTTGCAGAAGAAGGGTGAAGTTGCCAAAGATCAATTCTCCAAGGTCAGTTTCTTTTTAATATTTTTTTATTCACTCACTTTCAAAGACAGAATTTTATATAAGTTGATAACTAATTATATTGATGTCTAATTGATCAATTTCATTACTATTGTTCAGGTATTGTGGTATGCTGTCACAAACTATAGAACGTGGATCTTTGTCCTTCTCTATGGCTACTCCATGGGTGTTGAGTTGTCCATTGATAATGTCATTGCTGAATACTTCTATGACCGGTTAGTTTTTCTTCTTTACTTATTTGTTTTTCATTTTTGGGTAACTATTTTTACCGTATTTAACGTTCTCTTGTCATATATATAATATGTTATGTTACCGTACTATTTCAAATAAATTTAATCAGATTGAGAGTTTGACAAGATAAACGCATCATATTGTTTGGATAAAAAATCAAGTATCATTTCTCGTTTAATATTTTATTTATCTTTTACTGAGGTAAACTGCTTACTAACTCAGTGATATCATGATCATTTTAACAAATATAAGCAGTGTTGATTTCCCACCCGTCAGTTGCATTAATTTCTCTCTTGTACTGTACCAATTACGTTTAATTTGTGTTAATCGAATCCACAGATTTGATCTAAAACTTCACTTAGCCGGCATCATTGCTGCATCATTCGGCATGGCCAACTTTGCGGCTCGTCCCTTTGGTGGGTGGGCATCTGATGTAGCAGGCAGGTACTTTGGAATGAGAGGCAGGTTGTGGACTCTCTGGATTCTCCAAACCCTAGGAGGAGTCTTCTGTATATGTCTCGGCCGAGCCAATTCACTCCCCCTTGCAGTCCTTGCCATGATCCTCTTCTCTATAGGAGCCCAGGCTGCATGTGGAGCTACCTTTGGCGTCATCCCCTTCATCTCCCGACGTTCCCTCGGCATCATATCTGGCCTCACCGGAGCAGGTGGGAACTTTGGGTCTGGGTTGACCCAACTAGTGTGTTCTTCTCGACCTCAGCGTTCTCAACTGCCTCAGGGTTGTCTTGGATGGGGGTAATGATTGTGTGCTGTACTCTTCCTGTGACTTTGGTGCACTTCCCACAATGGGGAGGCATGTTCCTTCCAGCGTCCAAAGATGTCGAGAAGTCGACGGAAGAGTTTTTACTATGCAGCTGAGTGGAGTGAGGCGGAGAAGCAGAAGGGGCTGCACCAAGGGAGTTTAAAGTTCGCAGAGAATAGTAGGTCTGAGCGTGGTAGGCGGGTTGCCTCTGTTCCAACTCCACCAAACACCACACCTTCCCATGTTTAGTCAACAAAAGAGAAATATCGACATGCAAGTGTGAAACACACAATAGCAATGAATACTTTTATTTGGACCATCATAATTAATCATATTTGTAACTCATACAAGTGAGTTTTAAAAATATGAATTTCAAGTCTATTATAAGGTCGTACAATACATAATGAGTTAAATTAGGGCAAATATATATAGTTTCTTTGTACTGAAAATGGAGGCGGTGTAATAAGCTAATAGCGTGTGCTTTTATTCTATATGATGCAGACAAATGCTTTTACTTCTCATAATAAGTTTGTTAAGATCTTATAACACATCGAAATATCCTTTTTTAATGTTTTAGATGGACACAAATCAGAAGATTTTAAGGTCTGTTACTTTATTATTTCAATTTTCAATTTTAACGTCCCGTTTTATAACATTTTTGGTTTTTAGTCTTTTAGTTTCAGCAAATGTAAAATGAAAACCAAAATCTTGAACTCTAAAAAAGTAGCTTTCAATTTTCGATTTTCAAATTTTTTATTTTATTTTATTTTAAAATAAACAATCACCAAACTGTTATGACCCATTGTAGAGAATATAGGGAGAGGGGACACGGCAAAAGCGAAGGAGGGATGAAGAATAGGTTTGAGGAATTTTGCGTGCTATTCCCTAGTCCTTGTGCCTTTATTTATGGTAAACCAATGAGAATTCCTTGCCTTGCAAGTAATACAATCTTAAAGGAAAATGATCTTTTAGTATCTCAAGAGCAACTCCACCGTTGGAGTTTGCTCAGGGGACATGCAAGGAAAAAGGGCCCTAGAGACCGGGCTGTGGACTCCAGTGTGGGGGAGCCCGAGGGACTGTGGAGGCTTGAGTGCCTATGAGGAATTGCCAGCTCGAGAGCCCGAGTGGATCTGACGCAGGGCTGACGTCAGGGCGACGTCAATCATAATATAAAATTAATAAAAATATAAAATATTAATAAAAAAAGTAAAATTAAAAAAAAAAAAAAATTGTAAAACCCAGCTTCGAACTCAACGGCTGTCGCCGGAGTTCGTCGTCGAGGTGATGAACACCCACAGACAAATGGCAGAGATGGGTGTCTCTCGCGGCGAAATTCAGAAGCTCGAAGGTTCTCTGAGAGAAAAGGAAGACGGGTTTGCTTCCAAATGGAGGAGGAGTTGAAGACGAAGGAGGCGATTGAAGACGAGGCGCAAGTTTGTCGAGGGACGATTGAAAGGTTGGAGCTTGAGAGAAAAAGGTGAGATGGGTTTTTGTTGAAGTGCCAAGGAGGGCATAATCGAAATAATCGATGGTGTCAGTGACGAAAAGGCTAAGAATGGAGCTGAAGAAGCTGAGGGGTTTTGGGAGGAGACTGGTTGAAAACTGGGTGTGGGGGGGGGGATGTGTTGCTGAGCTTGAAGAAAAAATGGTGCGTTGGCACCATGTGAAAAGAAGAAAAATAATAATAAAAAAAAGGTTTTGGAATGGTGTGATGCACCATATGAAAAGAAATAATAAAAATAATTTTTTAATAGAAAATGGTACAACGAGACCGATTAAAAATCTTATCCGAAATTACAAATAAAATTATTTTGTATTATTTAGAAGAAAAAAAACTAATATTTTATTGTCTATTGCCAGGGCTATTGAAATACAACGGTGGAGATGCATAAGTGTATTGCCTGTGGGATTACTGTTCATTAGGGCAGTTACTGTTCACTGGGTGGATAGCATAGTGTATTGCCTGGGGGAAGGGCTCCAACGGTGGAGTTGCTCTAAATACAATCTACTAATGATTTACACAATCACACATGTGCTCGAATTATATTCCTTACACTTTCCCTTGAGTGTGTAAATCCTCAAGTAGTTGGCGCATCATATCTTCAAGTTGATGAAGCCGTCTTGTCTAGTAGGCACAAGTAGTAGATGCGAGTTTCAAAACAAACAAAAAAAATGCATAGGTGGTAAAACTTACAAAACCTTGCTATGGTAAAACCCAAGGTGGGATAAAAACCCATAGTAAGAAGAAAAGTGGGAAGTCGCATTAAGTCAAAACTAAATGTCTTCTAGACGCAAGTAGAAAAGGTCACAAGCGTATGACTAGCCCAAGATGGGTGCCTCGTCAAAATCTAGTCAAATAACAAAAATCTAGTGGGAAAAATGCTGCCAATTGTAGGGGAAATAGTACATTAGGATCAAAAGAGTATACTTTTAGGTACTCCCCCTGAGTTTGTAGTTCTCATTTGGAAGTTTTGTCAAAAGCGTATCTATCTCATTAGCAATTAATAATGCTTGCATGTCCCCTGAGCAAACTCCAACGGTGGAGTTGCTCTTGAGATACTAAAAGATCATTTTCCTTTAAGATTGTATTACTTGCAAGGCAAGGAATTCTCATTGGTTTACCATAAATAAAGGCACAAGGACTAGGGAATAGCACGCAAAATTCCTCAAACCTATTCTTCATCCCTCCTTCGCTTTTGCCGTGTCCCCTCTCCCTATATTCTCTACAATGGGTCATAACAGTTTGGTGATTGTTTATTTTAAAATAAAATAAAATAAAAAATTTGAAAATCGAAAATTGAAAGCTACTTTTTTAGAGTTCAAGATTTTGGTTTTCATTTTACATTTGCTGAAACTAAAAGACTAAAAACCAAAAATGTTATAAAAACGGGACGTTAAAATTGAAAATTGAAATAATAAAGTAACAGACCTTAAAATCTTCTGATTTGTGTCCATCTAAAACATTAAAAAAGGATATTTCGATGTGTTATAAGATCTTAACAAACTTATTATGAGAAGTAAAAGCATTTGTCTGCATCATATAGAATAAAAGCACACGCTATTAGCTTATTACACCGCCTCCATTTTCAGTACAAAGAAACTATATATATATGCCCTAATTTAACTCATTATGTATTGTACGACCTTATAATAGACTTGAAATTCATATTTTTAAAACTCACTTGTATGAGTTACAAATATGATTAATTATGATGGTCCAAATAAAAGTATTCATTGCTATTGTGTGTTTCACACTTGCATGTCGATATTTCTCTTTGTTGACTAAACATGGGAAGGTGTGGTGTTTGGTGGAGTTGGAACAGAGGCAACCCGCCTACCACGCTCAGACCTACTATTCTCTGCGAACTTTAAACTCCCTTGGTGCAGCCCCTTCTGCTTCTCCGCCTCACTCCACTCAGCTGCATAGTAAAACTCTTCCGTCGACTTCTCGACATCTTTGGACGCTGGAAGGAACATGCCTCCCCATTGTGGGAAGTGCACCAAAGTCACAGGAAGAGTACAGCACACAATCATTACCCCCATCCAAGACAACCCTGAGGCAGTTGAGAACGCTGAGGTCGAGAAGAACACTAGTTGGGTCAACCCAGACCCAAAGTTCCCACCTGCTCCGGTGAGGCCAGATATGATGCCGAGGGAACGTCGGGAGATGAAGGGGATGACGCCAAAGGTAGCTCCACATGCAGCCTGGGCTCCTATAGAGAAGAGGATCATGGCAAGGACTGCAAGGGGGAGTGAATTGGCTCGGCCGAGACATATACAGAAGACTCCTCCTAGGGTTTGGAGAATCCAGAGAGTCCACAACCTGCCTCTCATTCCAAAGTACCTGCCTGCTACATCAGATGCCCACCCACCAAAGGGACGAGCCGCAAAGTTGGCCATGCCGAATGATGCAGCAATGATGCCGGCTAAGTGAAGTTTTAGATCAAATCTGTGGATTCGATTAACACAAATTAAACGTAATTGGTACAGTACAAGAGAGAAATTAATGCAACTGACGGGTGGGGAAATCAACACTGCTTATATTTGTTAAAATGATCATGATATCACTGAGTTAGTAAGCAGTTTTACCTCAGTAAAAGATAAATAAAATATTAAACGAGAAATGATACTTGATTTTTTATCCAAACAATATGATGCGTTTATCTTGTCAAACTCTCAATCTGATTAAATTTATTTGAAATAGTACGGTAACATAACATATTATATATATGACAAGAGAACGTTAAATACGGTAAAAATAGTTACCCAAAAATGAAAAACAAATAAGTAAAGAAGAAAAACTAACCGGTCATAGAAGTATTCAGCAATGACATTATCAATGGACAACTCAACACCCATGGAGTAGCCATAGAGAAGGACAAAGATCCACGTTCTATAGTTTGTGACAGCATACCACAATACCTGAACAATAGTAATGAAATTGATCAATTAGACATCAATATAATTAGTTATCAACTTATATAAAATTCTGTCTTTGAAAGTGAGTGAATAAAAAAATATTAAAAAGAAACTGACCTTGGAGAATTGATCTTTGGCAACTTCACCCTTCTTCTGCAAGGCACCAAGATTCCCATCGGGCAAGTCTTGGCCAAGGGTCAACACCATGATTCCAGTAATGATATGAAACCACCCTGGAATGAAGAATGCAATTCTCCAGGCAGTAAAAGGAGTTGCTCCACATCTACCGATGATGTCGAACATCAATGGCATCAAGAGTTGGGTTGCCCCACCGCCCATGTTTCCCCACCCGGCTGCAGTCCCATTAACCAGTCCAATAATCTTACCATTAAACATTGTGCTCATCCAATATTGGCACGACACAAATGTTGCAAGGGAAAAACCAATCATAAACCTAACTGCTATGTAACCCCCAGCGTCAGCCACAAACGACATGCAAAACACAGTGGGTGCGCTGAGCATAATTAGGAACGCACAGCCGTAGCGTGGCCCTATCAAATCACACACCGCACCCATCACAAGCCTTGAGAATATGCTGCCTGAGACGGAGGCAACTCCGGCATTTCCGATGTCTTGCTTCGTGAGGTTTATGTTGTCTCGGATGATAGGGACGAGAGGAGCAGCTGCAAATGTTGAGATAAAGCAAGTGAAGAAGGAGATCCAAGACAAGTGGAACGTCCTCATGTGAGGGTTGGCCAGAGAGAATAGTTTGAAAACTTTGGCCTTGTGCTCTGAATCGACTGGCAAGTCGAATTTGGCTGTCGTGTCTGTTGGGACAATTGGTGATGCTACTGAAAATGCAAAGGTTTGCTCTCTGCCTGTCACTCCATGCATGGAGCTTCCGGGTTCACCTTCTGAATCTGCCATTTTTTCGGATTTCGGAATTCGAGGTTTGGGCTTCGGATTTTGAATAGTTTCGAGTTTTGGAACTCAGAAACTGCTTAGAGTACTAAATGGAGTTGTGGTGTTGTGTAGGAAAGGGGGAGTGTGGATTTATAGAGGGTTTTGAGTTGACCGTGTGAAGGGTTGTGAAGAGGCAAGAGTTAGATTCTGAATACTTTCTGATCCATTTGCCGCATCGGATATGTACGGCAAAGGCTCATCGTATATCCCAAGGGATACATAACCTTGCAATTAGCTGGTTATTATAAAGTAGGTGCACATAACTAGAAAAATTCCATACTAATTTTAACCACATTTTCGTTAGTCTATTTTGAAGCTTTACTCACTCATTCATTCTCTAATGTAAATAATATCGATTTTAAAAATAGAGATGTGATATCCACACATCCTATTTTACTTCTCACATACCCCTTGATAATTTCTGTCTGTTGATCTTCTTCAATTCATCCGATCCGACGGCCGAAAATTAAAAAAATGTGTGAGAAGTAAAATGAGATGTGTAGATATCACATCCCTAAAAATAAAATAAAAAATTAAGTCAATGAATCCTAATTAACTCTGCTCGGGACTCGTACACAATATTTCTGAGGACGTGTACAGATAACACGTTCCCTGTGCTACTGTACATTTATGTTTAACGAAGAGGGAAGATTCAGTTTGAGAAATGCTGCGTAGCATGGGCTACAACTGTACAAGCAATCATCCGCATGCTTTAATAATCTAATTAGGGCTCATTTGGCTCTGTTTTCATAGATATAACGAAAGACACAACACTATTTTGTATAAAATTAAGAGAATTGTTATTAGCACTTTAAAATTTTCATTCTACATTCCTAACAAGTGTATTTTTCTTTCTAATTATAGAAAATTTGGAGTGCAAAGTGAGATTTTTGGGATGCTAAAAACAATTTCTAAAATTAATAATGCTCATTAATTATAAAACTTCCTATCGCTTTTTAATTATAGAAAATTTGGAGTGCAAAATGAGATTTTTGGAATGCTAATAACAATTCCCAAAATTAATAGTGCGCATTAATTATAAAACTTTCTAGGGTAAATAACACTTTACCATCTCAGGTTCGGGGTCTATTACAATTGCATACAATATTTTCAAAACATTTTACTTTCATACCTCACCTACTATTTTATTTCAATTTAGTACCTCCGTTACATTTTCCATCCATTGATTCGTTAAGAGTTGACGTGGTAGCCAAATTTGTGCCACGTGGCAAAAATATAATTTTTTTATTCATATAAAAATAATTAATTAAAGAAAAGTTAAAAAAAAAAAAAAGCCCCAGAACCCATCTTCTTCCCCTACCCCCCTTCCCTACAACCTAAATCCCCCATCTCACCCCACCCCACCTCCCCCGCAACCCCCCCCCCCCACCCACCCCACCCAAAACCCATCTTCTTCCCGACGTTTTTTATGATGGGCATGGTAGATTGGCACTGCTGGGTTCCTTGGTGGGCTTGAAGGGCGTTGCAAGGCGGAACACCGGTGCTTCAGCAATGGAGGGCACGACAGGTGCTGGCAGTGGGAAAGCAGTGGCTGCAGGTTCAATGGGCTTAGGTTCTGGCTCGTTCCAGTAGACAGAGGTTAAGGCTCTCCTGGAGACGCGAGCTATGGTTGCCATTGGAGAGGAGCAAAGAGAGAGAACTGCGGTGGGCTCACGGTGGAGAATCCGAGAGAAGAGCGGTGCAACCTTGGACGAAGGAGGTTGCTGCTGCAGTCAGGGGAGGGGGGGGTTGCGGGGGAGGTGGGGGTGGGGTGGGATGGGGGGTTTAGGTTGCAGGGAGGAGGGGTCGGGGAAGAAGATGGGTTTTGGGTTTGTAATTTTTTTAATAACTTTTCTTTAATTAATTATTTTTAAATGAATTAAAATAAATTTTTTACCACGTGACATAAATTTGGCAGCCACGTGGCACAACTGTGGCAACCACGTCAGCTCTTAACGGATCAATGGATGAAAAATGTAACGGATGTACTATATTGAAATAAAATAGTAAGTGAGGTATGAAAGTGAAATGTTTTGAAGATATTGTATGCGATTGTAATAAACCCCAAACCTGAGATAGTCAAGTGTAATTTACCCAACTTTCTATGGCTTTCTAGAAAAGCACCAAATTACTTCCAAAGGCTCCTTCAAAGATCACTGAGATTGTTAATATAACTGTTCAGCAACTTGTAGTGCAAACACTATGAGTTTGCTCGAGAGTAATTTTGGATGAAGAGCTTAATTGTAACCCTATTTACTAAAAGAACATAGAAAGATCATGTAAATATAAAACCTTGCAGAATCATCTCACACTATATATATATATATTGTAATACTTTATACATATCAATACAAAGAGTCATATACTTACATAATACGCAATCAAATTCAACAAGGGCATTCTTTGACACTTTAGAACCTATAAGAAGTACTGTCTATCTAGTATTCTTAACTCATCAATTTCGAGCCTTAAATATTCTTAAAGATTAAACTAAGCCCTCGCCAAGTAAGTTTCCATCCATCACCGCCTACCCCTATTTTTTTTATAGGATAGTAATATTTAATGTATGTAACATCTCACATTGTTCAGGGGAGTGGATCTTTAAGCCTTATATGTATATTCTTATCTCTACCTAGCATGAGACCTTTTGGGAGCTCACTGACTTCGGATTCCATCTTAACTTCGAAGTTAAGCGAGTTCGCGCGAGAATCAATCCCATGATGGGTGATCTACTGGGAAGTTCTCGTGTGAGTCAATATCGTGCTACGGTGGAATGGAGTTGAGCCCGAGTCAGGATGTGACAATGTATACACACATTCTTTTTTATTTTTCTCACATTGTTATTAATTTTTTACCATTGTTCTTCAATTCATTTGATCTATTGATCGAAAATTGAGATGAATATGTGAGAAACTAAAATAGGTGTGTAGATAATGCTACCTTTTTTATATTTGTAATTATCATCCATGTTAATTTTGAATGTGTTTACTTTTGATCTATATGGCAACTAAATTCTTTTAGCCGTTTTGTTAGGTAGTGCTTTCCTCATCCATGGTGTTAGGCTAATTAATCTCTGATAGATACATCAAAGTTTATTCTTCTTAGATGACACTTGGAAATGTTTTTGCCAACCTGTCGATTTTTGTGCCCATTGTTGACAGATGCATCACATCTTATTAATCTCCTTTTTGCTAGGGATTTGGATTCTCTCTTGAGCTTAGAAGGTTGAGCCTCCTGAGAAAAGCATACGGATCATTGGATTTTGATTCAACGATTATAATTATTATAATTTTTAGAGAACATTTCTATTTATAGCTGTTGAATCAAAATCCAACGGCTCGTATGCTTTGCGCATGAGGCTCAACCTCTTAAGCTCAGAGAGGATTCAAATCCAGATTGATGGCACTCTGGATGTTGCATTGTTCACTGTCAATAATTGTTAATTTTTTTTAAGTGATATATTTGTTAATAAGATATATAGAAAAAATTACTTATATAGGGGAAATATATTCATGTCATACATTTTAATTTTCTCAATTTGACATTAGAACTTGTCAAATAATAGAAAAAATTACTTATATAGGGGAAATATATTCAAGTCAAACATTTTAATTTTCTCAATTTGACATCAGAACTTGTCAAATAATAGAAAAAATTACTTATATAGGGGAAATATATTCATATCAAACATTTTGACATAACATATTGCTAAACTGTTAATCCACTGAAGGGTACATATAATCGTGCATGCTAGTTATTAGGCACTGATAATGCTTCATCTCATTTTGCTTCACTAATGTAAATGAATATCAATTGTTCTTTGTTTCAATGATGACTTATTGATTAGTATATAGTTTAACATATGTGTGACCGTGTGAGCCTTATATTTTGACATGTACCAATAATCTATTGCAACTTGCAAGTTTAAGATGGCCAAAATGCAGATATTTTAAGCAAAAACATACATGTTCTGCAATTTGCAAGTCAATCAAGGGCTAATGAGATGGATGACCTTTGACATCCATTACAATTCATCACATAAGTAATATTTATATTAAGTTGCCTTACTCGTTATGTATACTAACAATTATCAAAATGTGAATTATTGGACAATTATGGCCCACAAAACTCCTACTTATAATTCCCAGATGACAGGTCAAAGCTTTCATCGCTTCTGATCGCAAACTATACGATTTTTTTAAACATTTACGGGTCGGTTGCTCGAAATGTTTGATGGATACACACAAAATATAATTTATTATGCAACACTTAACCTTTCAATTGCTCATAGGGTTCTCTGAGGTTGTTTTTTTTATTTTTTTATTTTCCTAAAGGGGCTTTGGACAACGCGATTTGGTATTGTTTTATTGGAATTTGTTGGCCATGCGTCGGAGGGATCTGTAAATGTGGCCTTTATTGTTTGTTTAAGAGATACGAAAAAACAGTTGTGTTTTGGCGGCCATGGCATATTATAAGAGCTTTTTTGTATTTTGATAAGAACTGCATGATAAGTCCATGCATGGATTTGTCAGATCCTACAAGTGAAAGATAATGAATGTTGCCCGATATCTTTGTTAGTTGGTCTTCCATCGATAAATCCAATAATTCCACGTCATCTGAATTGATATGTATTTCTTGAATAAGAAAACAATGAAACATATAATTCCACTTATATTTTTTTATATCATTATATATACACACACACACACACACATAGATATGTCTTCAAACATATGAAATGAAAAGCGGATGCAGGTTATCCAAGATAAATAAGGGCTTGTGATTGAGTAGAATAATTAAAAAGGGGAGAATAATGGTGGATGATGGTTTATAATTTAATTAACAAGGCATTATAGACTTAAACGGATTAGCACTTGTCATATTTGGATTCATTTACAATTTAACTATTGGATCCAAACGGTATTTAGATTATCAGATCTAACTTCTGATTCACATACGATATTCATCAAATTCGAATCTTTATCGATGTTCATTTATTTCGAAATTCGAATCATTATGTCTAAGCTCCCTTAATCGTAATCACTCCTAATCGGTATTGCTACAAATCTCTTACTTCCCCCATCCATAATGAATGTGCTACAATAAACCTCGTACTTCCCCCATTTTGCAAGGATAAGTATAGACAGTAGGAGTTGACTACTGATATTACCAAAACAATTGGAGCACAGAATAAAACAAATGAATTATATGCTTGGGAGATAAGGCTTCTAGTTTTAGGTCAAATACATATATATTACCAACAATTGAATGCATGTTCCTGCAAGAGTTGCATATATCATTCAACCATATGATATGCAAATACAAGGAGAAGGCTTCCTTATCTGTATAAAGCAGGCATTTTGTATTCACAAATGCAATCAAATGATCCTCATCACTTCAAATAAACAATTCTCGCATGAGATCATAACCTAACCAGCAAACTCCACAGTATAGCGAGTCTACGCTGAAGAATACATCAAGTCTACAAAGAAATCGGAAGAAATCAAACCTAATTTCATACGCTTCTGTGAGGAAATAAGTATCTTTCACCGCTAATGTAGGTGTATTCTAGTGTTCAATTTCTAACTGCTGGTAGTCCCACTTCTTTGAACTGGTTTGTAAAGCACAACTGAAACAAATTTTGAACGAAAGCGATGAGTGAACCCAAGTGCGACCACAGAGCGCGGGGTCTCCCGGTTCTCAATGTAAAGATGGTTGAGTGTCACATTTTGCGGTGCTGGAAGGGTTCCGGCAGTGTCTGCACTTGCTGGGTAGCTAAGTAATGTCTGTTGCAGATGTGGAGGGACAAGAGGTGGATCCCGTGCCTCGTCTTCATTCCCAGGGTACACGTTGTTGTAACTTGCATCGGGTGATCTTAAAACTTCGAATCCTGCAACAGTTGCTTCATCCTGCACATAAAGTTTTAAGGTTGCCCTATTTTATTTGAGTAGAAAATAAAAACATTAAGGTTCCGAAGGCTTACATAATCATCACCAAATGAGTTGTTCATTTTGAAACGGGAACTAGCAGACACAAGATCATCAACAGAGGAAGTTTATAGACTAATAACCTGAAAGAAAGTAGTTTACTTCCATGAGAATCATAGATACACAGAGGAAGGTTATGAACAAATAGGAGTATAATTGCACACCAAGAAGAAAGCCAGGAAATTCTACCGTTTACTGCAAAATGTTAAAATCCAGGACAAACAACACAATGGCTATGGAACCCATGTATATTACCCAATTTTCACTTTCTGATACCAAGGAAATTCAATCTGATATAGCTATAAAGAAAATTAGAAATCCCAATTTGCATAGTCAAAATCCTTTCAGCTTTATATACAACATGGTGTTAATCTCTGAACCATATAATTTATTTTACTTTAAATGGAGCCACAACAAAATGAAACTAATGGATAATTTTGTAAATTATAACAAGATAATAAGACTTGCTCTGCGTCATTTACCATACAACTTCTTTTCCGATTCCAACTTATCACAAGGCAAAAGAATAGGAAGCTGGAAACCAAATCTCGGAGAAAAACAATCACTAAAATTATAGAGATGTAACCAGGAAGCCTCAGTTACTTAATGAGGATTAAACAAGTCAGAGATAGAGTGATAAGGGGAGGTGTGGGTTGGGGGTGGGGGCGGTCCTAGGATACGGAGTGTTGAGGGGCGGGGGCAGTCCTAGGATATGGAGTGTTGAGGGGTGGGGACGTTGCTGGAAAAGAGAAGCGTTAGGTTGGTGTTTTTTTATTAAGTTTTAGTTTTATTTAATCATAGATAAAAAAGAATGTGCCCTTCAAAAATATAGTTTAGGACATAAAAGCTAACAGAACTAATGGAACGGACCAACATCAACTGGAATCAAGTTGAAGGATCAGAGTAAACTACTATTCGAGTTCAAGGACGAAAATGCAACTGAAGGTATAAATCAGGAACCATAGCTACAACTCTGCTGTCAACTTCTTTACATAAATATAAGGTAAGTTATAAAGTACAATAATAAAGACTTTTCTATAATAATAAACCACAATAATATGTGCATCATTTCTTCCATCCAGAAGTGGAGAATGCCTAAATTAAACAAATAAAGCAAGGCACATGTGTCCATCATTTGAATAGCATGAATTATGAATACATATAAGATTTATGGATAGATAGGGTTTAGAAATTAAGTTTTGAGGAACAGGATAAAGGATTTAAAGGAATAACCCAATGCCTCAAGGTATCTTGTCCGATTAGTAAAAGAAGGATGAAAACAAAATTAGAGGACATATAAATAAAACTTTGGTGATCACACCCATGGTTTACTTGGCTCAAGAAACCAGGGAAAGAGGGGAATTATGCCCCCCAGAGGAGCTTTACCTCTTATGAAGGAATTTTCTTTGTTGAACTCTGAAACTTTGAAACAAAACAGACCGCTGGCATTGGTACACAATCACACCCACATTTGCAATGGTAGTTACAATTTCGAACTTGTGGAAATTTCTATAGCCATAAATCCTAATTTATGAAAGACCAAATTTGGAAACAAATCCGAACTGAAGAAAGAACCCCAAGATCACTAGGACATCCCATCCAAGCAAATACCAGATAAAAAGAAAAGTGAAACAACTGCATATTAAAAGTTTCTTGTGTTAAAAGAAAGAAAAGAACAGTAAAATCCCCTTTTCAGTAAGGTTTCTCATCATCAGACTTAACCCAAATCAACACTTGAATCTATCCATTTCTCACCCTCTAAAAGTCTTCAAAGGATGCAGCGATGGACTTCGCTCATCACTGGCACTGCTTCTGAAATAGTGAGGAAGGGAAAAACTTTAATCTTGCTACATAGAATATTCTACAAAAGAAATCACCACACATAGGCCTTCTCCAGAATGCGCAAATTTTGAAAAGACAGTGTATGAAAACTCAGAAAATCATACAGATAAAAAATGAAATGAACTGGAATCAGATTCCAGTCATGAAGAGTCTGCTGTGGCCCCACTATTTCTGAGCTGATTCAACTTCATAATTTTGTCTGCAAAGACTGAAGGTGCATGTCTCTTTCAGCTGTTTGGCTTGACTGGCAACTGCTATCTCTTAGTTTTGTTGTGGGAGAGCCTCATAGTTGGTTTTCATCATTTTTATTTTTTATTTTTTTGTAGTGGTCTCCTTAAACATTGCTTCTGTTTTGTAATTTTGTTCCGTTTGTTTGCAATAAAACGTCTCATTCTCAATAAAAGACAGAAGGTGCATAGATGCCAACTTTCAAGAGCTTAGCCCAACTATAAATGTTACATACAAAATTTCAATAAACAAATAACTGTAAGAGTTGATCATAAAAACATTCTTCCCTTAGTCAGATAAAAAGTCTTAAACAAATCTCTCACTAGCTTCTTATATCGCCCAGGTACAAAGCATTTCTGTGTTGTTTTAGACAAAATTCATTGATGCGCAGTAGGCATTGCCTCAAACGTGCACTTTAGCAACACATATTCATTTAAAAATAAGTATATAAGGCCTAGTTTCAGCATTGAGAAAGCTTTAGTTCAATTAGAAAACTCTTAAGCAGTTAAGAAAGGGAAAAGCATTTACTTTTTCTACTTCTTTTGAGATACAATAAAGCAGTTCTTTATAAAATAGATACAGAAGAAACTAGACTAGACATTCAGTGGTTGCATTAAGCTAACACAAGTAGATCGCAATAGAAGGAATGAAGGATGCAGAAAAAATGATGGAAAGTTCATAGAGTTATACAGGGACCTTGACAAAGAGAGCGCACACAATACTCAAACAAACACACAGGTACACTTAACCAAATAATATTGATAAGCAATACACTACACAAAAATCTACACAGATTTCCATATGAAATCTTCTAGCTGACTGCATCACATTGTATATCCTGCCATTTTCCCTTTCATATTTTATTATACTCTTCATTACCAAGTTACCAATGATGAAAGACTCAACATTAAGAAAGCAAAACAAAACTTATGGAGCAATTATTCTAAACTATTACCCCAAACCCTCCACTTAAATCATCTTTATAGCGTAAATATATGACAAAACACACAGACAGTAAGCTCATAAACAACAAGGTATTCACTACAATCTAGAATTCTTGGTGCACACTAAATACAAAAATTTTGAAAGTCCTAAAACTTCAAGGCCAAACATCTAACACAATTTACAATTGAAAAGACATCTTTGAGCCGAAATGAATGCAGAACAAACACACAAACTCACACACAACCGCCAAAAATAGAATTCCTTGAACTAAAGCTAACCTAAACATCCTCAGGAATAGATGCTTTTCTCTAAGGATGGAAACCATTTTGACGTGGCGTTTTCAAGGGTATGCATGCGAAATCGAATAATGGCATTTCCTTTTCTAGTTCCGCCATACTAGCATTCATCGGCATCTATTGTTACAAATTGAAAGATGAATCTTATTCTTCCTCTTGTTTTAACTATTTTAACATCTACGTCATACATTATTTCTTATATATGAATTGCAAAAACGAAAGAGGAACCCTCCTGCTGGGTTTATATCTCAATACTATCAAAGGGGGAAAATCCATAAGATTAATCGACCACACCAAATATCAATATGCTAAAATTACATTTCCAATAAGAGACTTACCTGATTGGACTAAAGCTCCAACCTTTAATCACCAATCTATAGCTTCTCAGTGCCACTTTCCTCTTGAAACCAATATGCAGAACAATCAATCCACAATAAGTATTTTTGCAGGCCCAACACTTAATCTGAAAAAATCAGGCAAACCCAGACAGAATCAAAGGCAACCCATCAGATATTTTACCAAAACCGAACTACCCAATAATCTAAAGGCTGCAAATTTCATGGTTAAATCCTCAAAGTAAATGAAAAAACATTAAAGCAGAGCAAACCCAGTTTGGGAATAAGTTCAATTCAGTCGCATAAAAGAAGACCCACAATGGGATTTCGAGGTAAAAGCAAACTAGAAAGCATCCAAGAAAATCTTTACCAGGCGAACAGAGAAAAGATTGAAACTTTATAGTGGAAAAGTTTGAAAAGCGGGGCGGGGGCTGTTGGTTGGAGGAAATGGCTGCAGGAAATCCAGCTCGAGGGACTTTCTTCCAGGAGGTTCCGCTAGGAAAAACAAAAATTTCAAAACAAAACAGAAACATGCTTTTCTTGGTTTTTTCTCTCCTATTTTTAATACGAAAAGAGAAATTACACTACAAAACTTCTTACGATGGCTATTCTCACTATCTTATTTATTATTATTAAAGTTTAAATTTTAAAATTTGTGTAGTAAATAGATACAAATGTCAAACTTTAATTACCACCAATTGAGGTGGTGAGCAAAATGCACCCTCGGACTTCACCCCAAAATTTAGAAGAAAGATAATGCTAAAAAAACTATATATTTAAATCATATTTTACAATCCATATAACGTGATTGTTGACAATTAAATTATTGATTATTAATAAGAATTTAAGTTTGATTATTTCGCAACTTTTGTTCATTTCTTCGTTCCTTTTTCTATTTTGCAATATAAGAAATATCCCTATATTCTAAATAACACAGCTTTGAAACTTTTCATAATTGCAAATCCAAAAATTCAAAGTGTTAGTGTCTAAGGAGTCTCCTATAGCCCATTACGTGGTGTTCCGATTAGCAGCTTAGGAGGCTCAAGCTGTATTAAGCACGGTCACGACAAGCATGTTATGGACACTGAAACATGGCCCTATGATCCGGAAGTTTCAACACACCATTCGACTTCTAAAAAATTATACAACGTAAGGGTTGTGAATTTTTCAAACTTGGGCTATATACCATTCAAGGGAATAATTGAATGAGCGATTCGAAAATTATCCGAGTGATGTCTCTAAACTTCAATCTCGAGTACAATTACTTCTATCCCGGACCAGCGTACTAAGTCAAGTGCATTATGCAGCACCCTGTGTCTAATGTAGTTTTGAATGAGGCATCCAGACTAGAAAATTCTCAAGAGGAATTTTATTCCAATGGAGCTTGGAAGTGCCTTAACTAAGCTAGCTTTGTGTAGTCCGATCAAAATCGCCTAGGTACGATGCATAGGGTATGACAAAAGGATTCCAAGGGTGTTTCCAACCCACATGTAAGCGGCCAAGTTCCTAATGAACTTTTGTTTAAGATTCACTAGGGACGAACACACAGTTCGAACTAAGAAGGAATCCCTTTCTTGGTAGCACATTGCAACTATTAAAATCCATAAACCCAAAATAGGTCAAGGTGAACAAACAAATGGGCATAAAGCCATGATGAAAAGAAGTTCATAACTACACTAAGAATCGAAGACCATTCCAGGTACATCCTAGCATTTTCTTATCCTTAATTCAATCAATGCATTAAAGCAAGTTCGGAGTAAGGTGGTACTCTGATTATTGCAATCAAAATCTTTATAAACATAAAGTTTGGGAAGAAATTTTTTTTCAAACAAGGGCATCTTAGAGCTTTGTTCCGGCCTACAAGCTTACTAGTGTTTCTCTCTGTTAGTTACTACTCCGTAGTTATTCTACTTCAAAAAGATTGTCTAATTGAACTATATTCCACAACGTGAAAGTAAAAAATTGGAAAGTCCTAAGTAATATACCTTAACATGCTTAAAGATATGAGTATAACTACTTAACAAAAGAAATAATATGTAGGGAATCTAGTGAGATTAAATATAAATTCAAAAGCAACCTAAGTCTCGTGACTCGGGCAAAGTGTTCATTTTTAGGAAGAGACAAGCGCCCTACTTGGTAGAAAATTGTCTAAAAAACACTGAAAGTAAAACCTACGACAACGTTCCTCCATCCGAGTCAATCTCCACAACAACAACTTTTCCTTTCATCGCGGCAACTAGGTCTTCTGGGGCATTGATATTAACAGATGGCATGACTTTTAGATCTTCCCTAAGATCGAAGCTGGACCCAGTATCATCGGAATTCCAATTCTGAGATTTCATCCTCCAGGTGAGTAGGGAAAGGAAATGTGGCCTTCTACACTTCGGCCATTATAGGGCGAGTAACTCAACCATCCTTATGCTCCTGCCATGCATAGTCGGTAACATACCCTCGATCGTAGCACTCAGAGTATCTTAATTCGATTCTTCCTGGACAGTTGAATGAATCTTCACTAGCTCCGTCTCATTCTCGTCCTTTGTTTGCTAGAGTGCTTAGGCATGCGCATTCTCCTTCAACTCCGGCTAGCGGCGTAATATCTCTAATTCTAATTGGAGAATGGTGCAATCCGCATCCAAGGAACTTTGTTCTGCTACTAACAACACCCGCTCCGCCTCGGCCATGTCTCTCTCCAATACCTATTCCTCCTCAACTCTTGCTATAGCTATAATTCCTCGATGATTATAGACAACGTAGCCTTAAGGTCATTCACCTTAATCTCCTCAAAGGTAGCCTGATCAATCAACTTGTTCATTTCCACCTTGTGGGCTTCTGTTACAGTTTACTGGTTCGCAAACACCTTTACCAGCTCTGCAGACCTCTCTTGCAGTTGTCTCTCGAATTGGGCCTTGCCTTCCTTATAGTTATAGGCCACTTTGAGCTAGCGAATTTTCTCCGTTGGCTTAGGAAATCTGATTTTGTCCATACATAAGCCTATTTGTTACAAGTGTAAGAGAATTACGCAAGCATGTAGAAAACTAAGTTTCACAAAAAAAGAAATGAAGAAATGGATAACCACATATTGGCTCTCATGTAATTCATGATAAAGTCCTTGAAGGACGAGCGAACTTCTCTGAAGTCTGTCGGAACAACGACTGCTCGGAGCAACACTTGAGCATGTTTTGTGTTGTGAAGTCTACTAGCATTAGCAAGAAGTGCAATGCAATCCTCCTAAGCGGGCTTAATGAATATAGGAGGCTGGATTGATCGTTCAACAACGAGCACAGCTGTAGAAGAAGAACCCCTCACTCCAACAAAAGTAGAGGATGACCTAGCCAAGCTTCTTATCAGGCGATGTAGAGGAATTAGAGCAGGATGAGGTCTAGGAATAAGAATTTCATTTGGAATTGAAGATGTAATAAATTGTTGTTGTTATTGCTGATGTTGAGGCGACTCATGTTGTTGTTGTAGTAACTGTTCTTGTAGCTGTATTGGTGATTGTCGAGATAGATGATCTTTTTATTGATGTTTCTGCTGTTCTGCAGCTTTGCAAACCAGGTTCACATAGGGGTCAATAAACCCCCACACATCCGCTCATAGAAGTTCAATCTACCTTCTTGATATTTTCCTTTCTCTACAAAATTCCAGAATCTCTTCCTTTAGTAGACTTTCTCTTTTAGAGTGCCTCCACTTCAAACTTTTTCACGGCAACGTCAGACCTCTTTCTCTTCTTGACGTTATTAGGGCTTATCCATAATGGCTGAATTAGACCTGTAAACGGGTCGGGTTGAACCCGACCCGTTAAGTTAACGGGTTATCCGAACTCAATCCGTTAAGTTAACGGGTCACTCGACCCGTTAAGCTAATGAGTCACCCGTTAACAATTATTATTATTTTTTTTTGCATAAAGTTTATTTTTTATTATTAAGACTTTACTAAAATTACTAAAATATCCTCAACTAACGGGTGTTAACAAGTCTAACGGGTTGACCCAAAGTGACCCGTTATTTAACGGATTGTTAACGGGTTCACCCGTTAGCGACCCGACCCATTAAACATCCATCCAAATACAAATATTAACGGGTTTGGTCGGATCGGGTTGACGGGTTGGGTCCAAAATGCCAGGCCTAGGCTGAATGATTGAAAATTTGGAGTAGTGTCTACAATGGCATTATGGCAATGCTCTCTAAGTTAATCATGAGCAATCAACCACCTACAATTGCGGTGCTCCGCATGGATGACCTTGAAAGCTCGATCGATTGACTCCGGTTGCCAGAGTCCAATATTCTTCATGTCATTGCTTAGCTGAAGATTAATCGAATAAGTGTTCCTAACACGAATGGTAGTAATGTCGCACTTCTAGTTTCCATAGACGACAAAGACATCCTTGTTAGACTTGGCAATTTTTTACACGACATATAAACGACACGAAAATAACGAGTTTCAGGTCAACACTATAACTAATCGGGTTGTTATCGGGTCACCTGACAACGACCCATTAATAACGGGTCCTTATCAGGTTTACACAAGGGTGATACGCAGGTTACCGTTTCGACATGTTAAGAAAAAAGTTACTTTGATGATTTTGATTTTTTAAACTACTAAGAAAAACTTATATATGTGTATATTGTATGTATTATTGTAATATTATTCTATATAAATTTTTTTTTTAAAATTAAGTTTTATTTGTTTTCTTATTTTTATAGTATACTATAGGCAAAGAGTGAGACTAAAAAAATTATAAAACACATTTATGTACTAAAACAAATTATAAAACACATTTAAAATAAAAAATATCAAGTAATTAAAAATACCAAACACATTAAAAAATTTATAATAATTAATTTACAATTGCGAAAAATGTAAAATAAAATATGTAAACACTCATGATTGCATCATCTAAGCTTTGAGGATGACTATATTGTAGTTGGAATTTTTAAAACCATACAAACCCTGAGAAATAGTATTTTAAGGGAGTTCAAAATGAATTTTATTCATAATTATTAATGTACAAGTTTGAAAAATATAAAAGACAAATTGTTTTTGTTTTTAATGTTTTGAAGTAATATTTATGTGACAACGTGGTACGAATATACTAGTTTAGTATTATGTTTTTCAATTTTTTGTTTTTTGGTCAAATTATGTTTTTCATTTTCATTATTTATTGATATAAAATATATTTTCCTTAATGCGTAATAGGTCAGGTCATATTACTTGATAATTTTAACAAGTCGATTTCGAGTCGGGTCATATTACCGGTTTACTTTAATGGGTGTTACACGACACAACATGACATGAATGTCAGGTCTAATCCTTGTACCAGCTCTTATCGTATTGAGGAAAATCAGTAATATAAGTTGGCCACATAAGGCTAAGCTTGATTGGAAGAATTAATGGCCATCTGAACTTTTTCGCTTGGAATTGAGCATGCAAAATTTTTGAAGCCCCAAGTCTACTCCATACCATTCATTCAGTAGCTCAAGGCAAGTGATGATCCGATTAGACGCAGGAGTCAGATTACAGAGACCAATGTT